TAACGGACACAGTGCTGGGGCTTTGGCGGGGCTTTCGGAAAGCCCCGCCAAAGCCCCAGCACTGTGTCCGTTATAGAGCGGGATGCATCCCGCCTGTATGGCAGACACAGCACCGGGGCTTTAAAGCCCTCCCGCTGTGTCCACTATAGAGCGGGACGCATCCTGCCTGTATGGCGGACACAGCAGCAGGGCTTCAGTGGGGCTTTTGGGAGGCCCCGGTGCTGGCAGACATAGGGCGGTAGACATATGGTGGCTTTTGCCCGCTTGCCTCACCAGCCATAAAGCTCACCGCACGTCACTGCTCCCAGCAATGCTGTGAAAGGTTTCTGGAGTTCTGAAAGCAGTCCATATAATCCAAACGGAACATGGTCTGCTCTGAAATAAGGCAGGCATGTTACATTGTTACACAAAACATATCTGGGAAGATAGCTAGAAAATATTTAGACGAATCTCACTTTTTAAAGCTCAGGCAGATTTGGAAAGCAAATAACAACCTTTGATTTAGTATTTTAGTACTTAGCAAATGTCAATGTCTTCCTGTAGCCTTTTCAAACCCTATGTCCTCCTAATGAATTGGAATTTAACACCCAAAATTCATATCATGCACATTAATTCAGTGATGAGTAATAAGCCATTCCTTGTCCTGAAAACACAGGGCATGCTAGCAGGCATAATAACAACAGCAGCAGTAAATCTAGTGAGCTTGTGAGTGGCAGCTGCAGGGTTGGGTAACTGTAACTGAGATTCTGATATCATCATTTAGGGCTGCCTAAGATGAAGAACAAAGGGCATAGTGAGAAGATAAAATTGTTTGCTTCTAGAAAAATGGTTAAATTGAAATGGGGTTGGTTTCTAATGGTTACAAGATTGAGAAACAATCGTGGAAACATACTTGTCACCAGAAAAATTAGGCAAACAGCAAAGATATCTGGATATTCAGCCAGACCTGGGATGTTCAGGGTCAGATGTATGTTGAAAACATTCCCCAGGTTTTTGCCCAAAATTTCATCAAAAGTAGCACTCCATGCTCTGGCTATACTGGAAGCTCCTATAGGGGACAAACCAGGTATACTAAACATTGTCATATATCAGGCAGAGCATATCAAATTTAAAGAACAACATATTTGCACAGTCCTATCATCTCTTCTTTGAGCACACATTTACATTGCACAGGAAGATTTTGATAATTGCTGGATTCTATGCAGGAGGGGAGGAGGGGAGGAGGAGGAAGAGGAGAAGAAAAGAAGAAGGGGAAGGAGTTGTAAGTCCAGAGGCAGCCTAAGACAAAAATTTAGTGTATGACTTGAGATGGGTGGCTATAGAAATTGAAAAAATAAACAAACTCACTCCATCACTTTTAACACCCCACTCTTATACAACCTAAGATGCAGAGTCCAATTCTTCAATTTCACACAGACCCACGCAAGCAGAAGAGGGCTTACTACAAAGCTGCCACTTCAGTGAGTTGGCTTTGTGCCTCCAAGCATTCACAGGTCAAAAAAGAAACCTCATGGGCAGAATTACGGTAGTGTTTCTCTTGCCTAGTCTACGCTGCATGGCAGAAGGTCTTTAGATTCGACAGCATTTTCAACAATGGCATTTTCCAGGGCAGCCCAAAGAGATGGGGTTTGGAAGCTAAACGGGCTACAATACTGAACTTTATTCTCTCTAGAAATTCACATCTACTTAAGCACTGTCTGGTTATCTTTTCTTAGGCCTAAAGAGCCCTGATATAATTGAAATCTAACAGAGTACTAGAATGGAGACACTCATGCCATGATAATACCAATTACATAGGACAATAGCAGGTTCCACCCAGTGACGAATGCACACAGCTCTCCAACTGTGATGTAGCTGTACAGATATGCTGATCCTGTCAGAGGCACCCGGGCTCCAAATTCAGCATAACACAATCCTGCCAAAATGGATACCATAGCAGCAATAAAAAAGGAAAGGATAATACTAGGTCCCGAGATATTCCTGGCTACTTCCCCTGCTAAGACATACACCCCTGCACCTAGAGTACTGCCCACCCCAAAGGCTACTAAATCCAGGACAGTAAGACAGCGGTGCAGGTGTGATTCTCTGTAGCCATTGGCAGTTATTACTTTCCGACGAGAAACCATCTGAAAGAGGGAGATGATGGAACTCCAGACTGGCATCTGAAACAGAAAGAGAAGACCCAGATTTTCTTCTATATGTGATATCCTTTCAGATATTTGAAGAGTGCTATCATGTCCATTCTGCGTCAACTCTTCTGATTAAACATAATGGCAGCATATGGTCCAGATTTGATGATAATCTCAACAATTGAGTTTCATTCAGATAGTCATTTATATTTATCTTATGAATCTTTGTTTTTATTTTTTGTCTTTTTCTTCAGTATTCAATGTATAATTTTTACTTTTGTATGTCACGTATTCATTTTTTTTAAAGCGTACTTTTTTTGCCAGCTTGGGAACTGGAGGAATGCATATTAACATGGCTACTAGGCGAAGAAACTGAAAGATGTTTTACATGTAAGCTCTTACCTTACAAACTTCAGTTAGATGCAGGGACAAGCAAATGAAAGCAAAACCAAAGATCTTGAAATAATTATTTAATGCTGCATAAAAACTCATTCTGGTGTACTTTGCTACCAACATTTCCTTAATCACTTTAATGTATGCCATATTTTGATTTAGGTGAATCAATCTTAGAAAAAGCTAATTTGGGGGCTGCGTAGAAAATAATCTCCTGATGGAAACATACAAATATATTCAATTAACCTGAAGGCGGTCTATATAGGGCTTTGGAGCTAGTTCCAGATTGGTGTGAATCCCATGATATCCCACAATAGTCTTATTGTAGAGCAGCTACAGCATAGTCCTTGCAGAATTGCAGTTTATTTTGGAAATGAGCATGCTGGAACTCTGCAAAGCTTGTGGGCAGGTCATTTCTCATTCTTAGAAATGTCTGTTTGCTGTTATTTTCTTTTCCCTTCTAACTCTGCAATGTCTTTATGCTGAAGTTTGTGAATAGAGGGAGAGAAAGCTATAAATAGTCTGTCCATCTAAGGAAAATATGCACAGTGGGTGAGGGAAGGAGGGCACTATTTGAATTTTATAGTCTGTGCTCTTCTAATGGGCAGCTGCAAAATCATCTGGAGGTCTTGGAGGCTGGACAGCTGCAGGCCATTGAGAAACTGATGAAAAGGATCTGGAGAAAGTTCAGGAAGTGACAAGGGCAGATGTGTATTAAAATACTCAGATATTCTCAGACAAAAATGACTGAATAGAAAGGTTGAGTCTTTTGCTGTTCTCTCTTCAATCAGTAGGTTGCAGAGTTGGGTAACATAGTAACCCAAGGCCAATTTGAAGATGGGTTTTAAAAATAGACTTTAAAAAACTGCTATTCATACAATAAGCCATCATGGTACCTATTCATGAATGTCATGAATGAAAAGAAAATACTGAAGACTGATGCTTCAATCAGAATGATCAAAGCTGGATAAAAACGCAAATTAACGCCTATTATTTGACCTGAAGTCAGGTACAGTATTCTTTTTCAATTGTTCTTCATAGCAATAGCAATAGGACTTAGACTTATATACTGTTTCACAGCACTCTCTAAGCGGTTTACAGAGTCAGCACATTGCCTCCAACCATCTGGGTCCTCTTTTTACTGACCTCGGAAGGCTGGAAGGCTGAGTGAACCTTGAGCCTGGTGAGATCCAAACTGCCAAACTGCTAGCAGCCGGTGATCAGCAGAAGTAGCCTGCAGTACTGCATTCTAACCACTGCGCCACCGTGGCTCTTCATTACGTCTTTTTCTTGATCTTGCTTTCTAGCAATTAATCTGCTTTTATACTTGCATCTTATTTTCTGCCTTACTTCTCCAGACTTTCAAGATGCTCACTTTAGATCCTAAATATGTATTTTGATTTGTAAACATGCCAAATGATAAAGGAGTGTTTTTAGAAAGGAAGATTATTATTTCAAATTAATCTAGCCCCTTAGTCTGTTTATAACATTCCCAAATCAACACCCTAATCACTTATCTGTTTACAGTTGGTTTTTCGACTTACAACCCCAACTGAGACCAGATTCTTGGTTATTGACCAAAACGGTCTTTAAGTGACGTGACCATGTGACTGCTTTTTTCAATGACCACAATCCCAGCTCTCCCAATTGGCTAAATGGTCATATGGCTCACGCTTTGACCACAAAAGGCTGGCACAGGGGGTGAGGGAGGCTCTGGGAGGCCTGCCATGGTAGAGATACAGGTACCTGTAATTGTACCTGTACCTTTTAAAGTTTAGTGTCATTTTGGTCTAGTGGTTAAGATACCATGTTAGAAAGCAAGAGGCCCACCTGACTTTCATGGCTAAGGCCTCTGAGAGATCATGTGTTCTAGTCTCACCTTAGCCATAAAAGTCAGGTGAGTGACCTAGGGCCAGTCATTCTCCCTCAGCCCAACTTACCTCACAGGGGTGAGTTGTGAGGAAAGCAAGAGGAGGAAGGTATATTGGATATGTTTCCCATCTTGAGTAATTTGTAAAAATAATAAAAACAAACAAATAATATACAGGCCCACTGGCATGGGGAAACTGCCAAAGCTGGGAGGACTGGCCCCTCTCCACACTCTACCACACCAGGGAAGTCCACCAGGGAAGTCCGAGCCCTTTTCCCAACCCACCCTATTTTGGGTTGACTTACTTTTGCCTTTTTGTACCACTGCTGATAAAGCCTTTCTAGCCTACAAAATGATTGCCTTCACCAGCATTCTGGTCTGAAAAAGAGCCTTTCTAGGCTTTATCTTTCTAGAACAAAAGAGAAAACAGCCTTTCTAGCCTTCGGAATGAAATAGAAAAATCGCCTTTCTAGCCTTCAGAACTTTTCTAACCTTTTTGGCCTAAAAGCTAGGCAAAGCGATCATGCTGAAGGCTAGAAAACTCTCAGCGGCCTTCGATACCATTGACCATGGTATCCTTCTGCGACGGTTACGGGAGGTGGGAGTGGGAGGCACCGTCTTAAGGTGGTTCTCCTCCTACCTCTCGGACAGGTTGCAGTCGGTTAGTTGGGGGACAGAGATCGACCCCTAGGCCCCTCAAATATGGGGTGCCTCAGGGTTCAGTGCTGTCCCCCCCTTCTATTTAATATCTACATGAAGCCACTGGGTGAGATCATACGCCG